CTGTCGATCTCACTATCGATCTCACTTTTTAGGACACCACGGGGCACCACGGGACACCTCGGGGCACGACATTGATCTCAGTATCGATCTCAGAATCGATCTCACTATCGGTCTCACTATCGATCTCACTCAACGGGACACCACGGGACACCACGGGACACCGCGGGACACCGCGAGCCATTGGCAGACGGACGGACGGGCGGGCGGGGGAGAATCATTTGTCTTGACTTCGCCCTAGCAACGGCGGACACCACGGGACACCACGGGACACCGCGGGACACCGCGAGCCACCGCCGGGCGGGCGGGCGGGTGATAATCATTTGTCTTGACTTCGCCCTAGCAGCGGCAGGACACCACGGGACACCACGGGACACCGCGAGCCACCGTCGGACGGACAGACGGAGGAGAATCATTTGTCTTGATTTCGCCCTAGCAACGGCGAACACCACGGGACACCATGGGACACCATGGGACACCGCGGGACACCGAGGGACACCGCCGGACGGACGGAGGAGAATAATTTGTCTTGACTTCGCCCTAGCAACGTCGGTTTCATTCCTCTCGCGCGCCCACGCAGCCTCGCCTCGCCCGCACGCGCGACACGAACGAAACGAAACGATTTCCCGGTTGGGGGTCTCCGTTCCACTGCGATCTCACCCCCCAACCTCCGAGGGATATGCCCGACTTAACCCTCTAAACCTACGCCCCCCCCGTGATCCTCGTCGTTCAGCGTTCGGGTCAGAGCGCTGGTCTCTGGCGGCCGTTCGGGACGATCCGGGCACACCCGGAAAGCCCTCGGCGAGGCGCGGCCGCGGGAACGCATCCCGAGGCTGGAAAACCGCCGGGGACCGACGGAGACGTGCGATAGTCTCGAACCTCGAAAACCCTGAACTTCCGACGCCGCCCTGACCTTTCCCCTTGCCTCCCAAGTCCTCCCTCTTATCCCTCACCCCCTGCCTGGCTCCTCCCCCCCCCACGCGCGCGCCACGGGGCGCGCGCGGGGGAGGCGACGAAGGCCGCTCGCGGGCACGCGCGCGGGCGGCTGTGGGAAGAGGAGGAGGCAGAGAACGAGGTGGGGGAGCACCTCGGAAACCTCGCACCTCGGATCCCGCCCTGACGTTGCCACCTCGCGTTGCCCTCTTCTGGGGGCTACTGACCCAGTCAATCCAGTCCTGGGCCAGTCGAGCCTTGCAACATCCTGCAAGATCCGAAAGGATCCTGCACGCAAGCCAGGTCAGAGCACCTCTGGCTCTGCAGGATCCTGCAAGATCCGGCGCTCTGACCGACCCCCGCTTGCACTGACCCCCGTCTCTTGAGCCCCGACCCCAGGCGCTCTGGCCGGAGCCGGGGGCCACCAGGCTCGGCCTCGACGGCGCGGTCTTGCAATCGGGGTGCCCAGCTGTGGCTCGAGGGTGAGCGCGACGGCCTGGGGCTGGTCAGGACGAGGAAGATGTCATGATAGCTACGGCGGGTTGGTGCGGCGTCGACGCGCGCCAAGGTTTTCGACACCGCGTCAAGCGTTCAACCTTGAATCGATGATCGCGGCCCCGATTGTTCAAGGCTGAATTCCGTCGGGTCCGTGGCGTTGCCGTGCCCATCGGTGCGCCCGCGTAGTTCTGTCGTGTCGAGTTCAACCTTGAACGCTTTCGCGGGTGTCGCGGGTGCGCCATCGCCGCACGGACTTACCTTAGGTGGCTATGCGGCCAGGCATGGGAGCTTCCCGCAGTCGCAAGGACGCCTAGTTGTTGAAATGATCTGAAACAACTACCCTGAACAAATCTGTGTGTGGAGCAAAAGCGTCCTTGCTTGGCCACCTCATGATTGGACTGGCGCAGGACACTCTCCAGGATTTCCAATATATCTACGTAGCGTTAGGTCGGGCATGTCCCCCCATATTTGGGAGGGAAATAAAACATGTCAAACCGATTACAAAATTATAGAAAAATAACAGAAGATTTGTCCCCAGACTATTTCTTGACTTTCTGATTTTTTTACTGTAGAGGGACATGCCCGATTTAAACGCAGCGGCAATCGTTTCTGGAGCCATTGCGGAGCACTAGGGGATCGGGGAAATCTGGGCGAGTGCTCGATGATGACAGCCTGGATAAGACTGCGAACATCTTCGGACTGTGGCAGCCTTCTTGGCCGATGTCATGCAGGTGCTCTTGTTGCAGGAACCGCGAAGACCGACGGAGAGGGGGGGGCATAAGCCAAGTAACTACCGAATTCTCCTCCTTCTCCTTCTGGTTGCTCTTTGTCCTCCTTCTCCTGTTTTATCCTCCACCTTTCTCCCTCCTCCAATCTCCCTCTTCCTCCCTCTTCCTGCTCCGCCTTCTCTATCCTCCCCCATCTCCTCCTCGCCTTCCTCCTGCTCGATGCCATGCTTTGGTATGCTTTCCTCGTTCTGAGCCCGCTCCGTCGGCAATGCCGCCGCTGAAAAGCGAAGCTCGTCCTCGTCTTGCTGCTCCTGCTCCTGCTCCTCCCCTGGAACTGGGATCGCCTGCCATGAGGCTCAACCTGCTCTTGCTCCGCTTCGTCAATTTTCTCTGGGCCGGGTCGTCCGGCACCAGGCCGTGCACGGCCACGAAGAGGCCGTCCACGAGCCTCTCGCGTGGGGGCGCGAGCGCTGGTGGAAAGAGCTCGTCCTCCCCCGCCCCTCCCATGCCACGTCGCTGTACTGCACGGGTTGCGCGCAAGTCGCATGCATATGCGGTTAGTACTCGCAGCCGTCTGGAGCCCTCGCGACTGCGCCGGTGCATTCCTGCCAAGGCTGCAATCCACAGCTGGGCCGTTTCACTGCCATCACGCTGCTCTGAGAAATCAGGTCATCTCTGGGTTCTTCGCAGGCCACAAACGTTCTGCCCGATGTCGCCAGTGTCGTGGCTACCAGGTACGGCGGGGTCGACTTACTCAATCGGCTCTGCAACGCTGGTAATGGGCAAGTTGTTTTCATCGGCATGCTTACGTCATTCACTGACGATATTGCAAGAAAGCGGGATCTTGCCTCACAACCAAAAAAACGTAGATCCACCCGGCAATACAACTTCTTCACGGAACCGCTACGCATCGAGAATCGAATGCCGGGGCAAACAGAACAGACTGCGAGGCTCGTGCTCCAGCAACAGATGCCAATGCTGAGCTCCTCGGTCCCAGCCGCAGTTCCAGTGGAGCTTTCGATTTCCAGCCTCCAAGGCTACAGTTGTACGTCCTGCTTCTTACTGCAATTTGTCACCGATCAGCGCGGGGGGGGGGGGGGGGAAAACCACCTTGGTTACAACAGCCTCCCTGAGGTTCTCAGAATTCCCCAGGGGGCCTGGGCCGCGTAAAACTATTAGACTTGCGTCCTCGGGGCCATGTTCCTTTCAGACCATACCAGATACGCACTCCCGAAGCTGGAATCTTTGGATCTTCCACTAGACTCTCGCCCCCGTGACCGGATTGCCTTGTAAACAGGACGCCAGATTCCCGCCCCAGTTGCCAGATTCACGCAGGTTAGTCTTAGGTCGGGCCTGTCCCCCTACAGGGGGACTTTGGACGAAAAATAAAACATATCAAACAATGCGCAAAAGATGCATAGCCGTACTCAAAAAATAGTTCCCGGACTATTGTTTGACTAATTTTTGTCTATTCCTCCTGTAGGGGGACAGGCCCGACTTCAGGTTACTTACGCCAAACTCGTGCTCCCGAGGACGCGACCTCACAAGAACTACGCTCGGCTCGCGCTCCCTGAGCCGGAGTCATTGCAAATGGCGCTCGCGCTCCCGAGGTCCGAATCCATGATAAATCAGCCGGCCCTTCGGCGCGTGTGAGGCGTCGTCTTCGCCGACGTCGCCACCAGGCCCCAAGAAATTGAAGAACAAAGACAAGGACGGTCCTAAAGAAGTCGAAGTCGATTCCCTTCCGTTTTTCACGTCCCTGACGGGGGGGTACACAAGGGGATGGGGTGGGAGGTGGGGGGTTGGGTGTGGGGTCAAGGGTCAGAATGCCGCCCCCCCCCCAAATCCCAGCGGGTCTTGGGGGGGGTCACCAGCGGGGTTCCCAAGGAAGGTGCCGCCTGTTGTGGTGGGGGGGGGAGTCCCAGGTCAGAATACCACCCTGCAGTCCCCAAATCATCGATTCCCGAACAAAAATCCAGTGAAGACCGACGCTGCCGTTCGTTAGCGACTTCGCGATGAAATCCAGTACCGGTCGCGATCGGTCGCGATCGGTGGCGGATCGGTAGCGGATCGGTCGCGAAATGTCCCCGAGGGGTCGCGATCCGTAGTGATCTGTCGCGATCGGTAACGATCACATCGGTGTCGGTCGCGATCGGTCCCGATCGCAACCAACACTGATCTGACAACGATCTGACGTCAGACCACTGTCAGATCGCAATGTTTGTCGCGAAAGGGAGCACGGGTGCATCACCGTCATCAACCGCATCATCACCATCACCATCACCTTCGCCATCAGCGCCATCAACACCATCAGCATCAACATCAGCAGCAGCATCATCAGCATCATCGTCATCATCGTCAACATCGTCACCATCATCATCATCATCATCATCATCATCATCATCATCATCATCATCATCATCATCATCATCATCATTATCATGATCGTCATCACCGTCATCATCGTCATCATCATCAGCATATTCACCTTCAGCAGCATCAGCATCGTCGTCATCACCGCCACCATCAACACCATCGTCATCATCATCGGCATCATCGGCCTCATCGTCATCATCGTCATCATCGTCATCATCGACATCATCGTCATCATCGTCATCATCGTCATCAGCATCATCATCATCATCATCATCATCATCGCCTGCATCATCAGCTTCATCATCATCAGCAGCAGCATCATCAATAGCATCATCATCCTCATCCTCATCCTCATCCTCACCCTCATCCTCATCCTCATCCTCATCCTCATCACAAAGACCCAAGGGGTCCACGCCGCGGGCACGGGTCCCCCGAGGCGCCGGGGAGGCCACAGCGCGGGGAATGGGGACGCAGATGCATGACGTTGTTTCTCGGTGCTCCGAAGTCCCAGGGGGGGCGGCACTAGGTCAGCCCCCCTCCATCCTCCTTCCGCCCCCTCGCCCATTTGCCCTCGCCCATGTCGGCGCACCCCTCACACGGATCGCGCGCACATGGGGAACGCTCAACGACTTTGTGTCCCTAGGTTTTTCCGTAACCATTTCGGCCCAAGGAGGTTCCTCGAGGCCCCCAAGATGCCCTTCCTTTCCCCTTTGCAGTATTGGGTGACGGGCCTCCATGCAGCGCAGAACGTGGCCAGAGTGGAGTGTCAGCCGCAACCATCGCTGGCGCTACAGCGAGGAGTCCCGCACCTTCACTTTGGAGTGGAGTCCGTGGTACTACCTACGACCAGTACTATGACAAGGACACGAACACCTACGACTGGGTGATCTGGTACTGCGAGGGCGTGCGATCTACAGAGGTTGAGCTGATTCTAGCTCATTAACTCCTCCAGCGCCAATTCTTCCAGCTCCTCCAACTCTTCCTGCTCCCGTCCTTGCACCAGCTCTTCCAACTCTGCTAGCTCTTCCAGCTCCAACTCTTCCAAGCCCCTTTTGACGGCCAGCTCCAGCGTTCCCAGGCGTCTTTTCGCTTCGCGGCATCTTTCAGGCCGACACAGGCCGCGCGAAGCCCTCTAGAAGTGGCAGTGACCGTGTCCCACGAAGCCGCCCCAGCATCAACATATGGTTGTGGTTGTGATGGCGATGGTACGTACGATGGTGATGACGATGATGATGGTGGTAGTGATGACGACGACGACGATGATGATGATGGTGATGATGCAAAAATGATGATGATGTTGATGGTGGTGGTGGTGGTGGTGGTGGTGATGATGATGATGATGATGATGATGAGGCTGGTGATGATGGTGATGTGGGTTTGGATTGTGGCAGCGACGACGGTGCCAACGGCGCGGAACGCGAGGAGAAAAGGAGGGGCCCGATCATTGGATACTGGAGCTTTCCGGTCGCGACATCGATTTGGAGTGCCGATCGGCCGCTACGGATCGCGACCGGGTGTCCAATCCGCCGGCCCCCTTGCGGGGCCATCATGCTGCGAGGATTAAGCTCGCTGCTCCCTGCACCAGTTCCAGCTTCCAGTTTCCATTGTTACAATACTGTTTTCTGCTTCCTACTGTAAATTATTACTGTCCGCGCAAGGGTTGGGAGCCGAAAACCACCCTGGTTAGTGTCCCCCGGGCGGGTTCTCAGAATTCCCGGGGGGTAAAATTAACACCCCTCACGCAGATCGCAGGGTCAGGTCCAAAAACAGAAAGGATTTGCCACATTTCTCAAATTCGGTGGCACCCCTCACGCAGATCGGCGGGGTCAGGGTCCAAAAACATTGGAGATTTGCCACATTTCTGAAATTCGGTGACGCCCCTCGCACAGATCGGTGGGGTCAGGGTCCAAAAACACCGGGGATTTGCCACATTTCCGAAATTCGGTGGCACCCCTCACACAGATCGGCGGGGTCAGGATCTACAAAAACACATGGGATTTGCTACATTCCTGAAATTCGGTGGCGCCCCTCAAACGGATCGGCGGGGTCAGGGTCCAAAAACACCGGGGATTTGCTACATTTCTGAAATTCGGTGGCACCCCTCAAGCAGATCGGCTGGGTCAGGGTCCAATAACACAAAGAATTTGCGGCATGTTTAAAACTCGGTGGCACCCCTCACGCAGATCGGCGGGGTCAGGGTCCAAAAACATAAAGAATTCGCCGCGCTTCTGAAATTTCTGGGCACCAATCACGCAGATCGGCGGGTCAGGGTCCAAAAACATTTGGAATTTCCGAAATTTCTGAAATTCGGAGGCACCCCTCACGCAAATCTGTGGCCCGATTCGAGCCGGAGCGCTCCGGGAGCGGCCCGACGAGCACTCCGCGCGAACTGGCACGAGAGGGCCGCCCGAAATTGGGCCGGGGGAACGTACCGGAGCCCAAACCATATTAAATAATAAAGAAAATGTATGTCGGGAGCCGTGTTTGTGGAGCCACTGACATGTGCAGGGTCGGCCAGAATCTGCCAGATTTGCCCGGATCGACAACGGCGTCGGCAGGCCCGAAATCCAAGCCCAGGCGCTCCCAGGCGCTCCCAGGCGCGCCCGAGCGCTCCGTGCGAGCCGGAGGGCCCCTGGAGCGGTCCGACGAACACTCCGTGCGAGCTGGCACGAGCGGGCCGCCCGAAACTGGGCCGGGACGTACCGGAGCCCAAAACCATAAGAAAATATGCAGTGGAAGCCGTTTTTGTGGAGCCACTGACATTGTGCCGGGTCGGCCAGAATATGCCAGATTTGCCAGACTCGAGCGCGGCGTCGGCAGGCCCGAAATCCAAGCCCAGGCGCTCCCGGGCGCTCCCAGGCGCGCCCAACCGCACCGTGCGAGCCGGAGCGCCCCCGGAGAGGCCCGACGAGCACTCCGTGCGAGCTGGCACGAGCGGGCCGCCAGAAATTTGGCCAGGGACGTGCCGGAGCCCAAAACCATATTAAATAATAAAGAACATGTGTGTTGGGAGCCGTTTTTGTGGAGCCACGTTTTTGTGGAGCCACTGACATTTTGCTGGGTCGGCCAGAATCTGCCAGATGTGCCAGGACTCGAGCGCGGCGTCGGCAGGCCCGAAATCCAAGCCCAGGCGCTCCCAGGCGCTCCCAGGCGCGCCCAACCGCACCGTGCGAGCCGGAGCGCCCCCAGAGCGGCCCGACGAGCACTCCGTGCGAGCTGGCACGAGCGGGCCACCAGAAATTGGGCCGGGACGAACCGGAGGCCAAAACCGTATCAAATCATACAGAAAATGTGTATTGGGAGCCGTTTTTTGTGGAACCACTGACATTTTGCCGGGTCGGCGAGAATCTGCCAGATTCGCCAGGATCGAGCGCGGCGTCGGCAGGCCCGAAATCCAAGCCCAGGCGCTCCCAGGCGCGCCCAAGCGCTTCCAAGCGCTCGGCCTGCGAGCAGGAGCGCCCCCGGAGCGGCCCGACGAGCATTCCGTGGGGGCCTGCACGAACGGGGGCGCTTCCGGAGCGGCCCGACGCGAGCGGGAGCGCTTCTGCAGCGGCCAGACAAGGCGCTCCAAGGATTTGCCACATTTCTGAAATTCGGTGGCACCCCTCACGCAGATCGGCGGGATCAGGGTCCAAAAACACAGAGGATTTGCCACATTTCTGAAATTCGGTGGCACCCATCACGCAGATCCGTCGGGTCAGGGTCCACAAATATAAGGGATTTGCCACACGTCTGAAATTCGGAGGCATCCCTCACGCAGATCGGCGGGGTCAAGGTCGAAAAACAAATACGTCCCGACACTGCTTCACGGCAAAGCCAAAGCCTCATGACTTCGCTCTTCCATGGCCCATTCTCCGAGAGAGGGGGCCGGCGGCAGGGGGCGAAGCCCTTACGGATAATATGGCAGAGGATACGGGGGGGGAGTGACAGGGAGGAAGCTGATGAGGTGCTTGCGGCGCTCGCATCGTCTAGCCGCTTGGGCCCAACAATTCCCCACCCCCTTGAACGAACAGAGACCGCCCCCCCAGCCGAGATGGCGCCCCCTCCCCTTCCCCCCGCGGGGGGGCTGCGCCGCTTGCGGCTGGCGCGCCGGGGGAAGCGTTTCTGGCCCACGTTGAGGAGGAGAGGGTGCGGTGTTTGTTCGTTTTGGGGCAAGACCGCTTCCTCAACGACGACCACGCCGCGCATGGGCCGTCCTTGGCGGCCTGGTACCGCTAATGGCCGACTTCAAGACGCGCCCAACCCAAGCCCCCTACTGTACTTGCCCCCATGACTCTCCCCCCTGCCCCGGTGCGCACGCGCCCCCCCTAGGTGGAGGCGATGCTTCGGGCGAGCGCCGGCAGCGACCTCCCCTTCGTCACGCTCCGCGCGGCGTGCGAGGTGGTGCGGGCCGAGAACCGCTCGGCCGAGAACCTCTGGGCCGAGAACCTCAGGGCCGACAACCGCTGGGCCGAGAACATACGGGCCGAGAACCTATGGGCCGAGAACCCGTGGGCCGAGAACTAATGGGCCGAGAACCCCTGGGCCGAGAACTAATGGGCCGAGAACCTCTGGGCCGAGAGTCTATGGGCCGATAACTTATGGGCCGAGAACCACTGGGCCGAGAACATGTTGTCTGATAACCTATGGGACGATAACCTCTGGGCCGAGAACCGATGGGCCGATAACCTATGGGTCGAGAACATATGGCCGAGAACCTATGGGCCAACAAACGAACATACTGCTGCAAGCGCGGTGGCGGACTTTTCTGGAACCAGCTAACATGATCTCTCGGTTCATTCACGAGGACATGAATTCGTTCGTGTCCGCCTGGCATCCCATGCGCCTCAGGAGTGTGAAATTTGGCAGAGCATGGCGCTGGAATTTGCGCTCGTGCTGAAGTCGCACAAAGTGTCTCTTGTGAGAGGTGGCTGAACTTCTGATGACCAGCTCGGATACTCCTAGGCGCATAGCGTCCGATGGCTCATTCGAACCATGTTCACGTGCGCCTGACGGGCGAACGACATTTTCAAGTTGCGCCTGCGCAGCTCGACGCCGTGGCAAATGCTCCCCGGCCCCGATTTCAGTCGGTACTGCCATCCAGCTGCCTGCGGCAGACCCCGCCGCCGCAGCAGGCGCGAGCCCATCGGGACACAGCGCAGCCGACGCGCAGACGCGAGCCCATCGGAACACAGCGCAGCCGATGCGCAAGCGCGCAGAAGCTGTGTTCTGATGGGCGGGCTCGCGCCTGCGCGTCAGCTGCGCTGTGCTCCCTTGGGCTCTCGCCTGCGCGTCGGCTGCGCTGTGTTCCCATGGGCTCGCGCCTGCGCGGTGGCTGCGCTTTGTTTCCGATGGCTTTTGAGCTTTGTTCCGTAGAGGTCGCCGGCCCACTGGGAGGAGCTGACCCATGCCATCGGAACAAAGCGCAGCCAACGCGCAGGCGCGAGCCCATCGGAACACAGCGCAGCCGACGCGCAGGCTCGAGCCCATCGGAACGCAGCGCAGAACAAAGCGCAACGGCCATCGGAACAAAGCGAAGCCAACGCGCAGGCGCGAGCCCATCGGAACACAGCGCAGCCGACGCGCAGGCGCGAGCCCGTCGAAACACAGCGCAGCCGACGCGCAAGCGCGCAGAAGCTGTTCCAATGGGCTCGCGCCTGCGCGTCGGCTGCGCTGTGTTCCCATGGGTTCGCGCCTGCGCGTCGGCTGCGCTGCGTTCCGATGGCCTACAAGAAACACGGAAGAATTCTGACCCGCGGCAACAGGGGAGCACGCTGACGCGCCCACTCCGCGCAGGCTCGGTGGTGGACTCCGACTCCGACTCCGACGACGATTCCGACTCCGACGACGTCCTTCGACGACAACTCCGACTCCGACTTAGTCGACTACGACAACGGCGACGACAACGACGACTCCGACTCCGACAACGACGACGGCGACGACAACTCCGACTCCGACGACGACGCCTCCGACTCCCGATGACGATGATGACGATGGTGATGAGTGATCCAGTCAGGGCGTTGACCTAAGGAACCCTGAATAAGGAACGAGGCCCCTTTCATCCACAAATTAACTTTCGATCTCCCATCAACCACCTACGGAAAACTGAAGGCAAACTGTATAACAATCAAGGACCACCGAGCCCCTCCCCAACGAAAAGGGTTCCTTCGTCAGCGCCCCGACTGTATGGTGACGACGGACTGCCCAAAAGGTGCCCACACTCTGAAGATAACAGCAGCATCTGCTCTGGCCCAATCCCGCGAGTATTGCGTCCCTTGCCACTAGACCGAGTTGCACAGGTTTGCCCCGCTCCAGATGGCTCACATATGGCCCAAAAATGGGCCAAGGTGGTCCTCAACTTCGCCCAAACTGGTCCCACATGGCCTCCAAGACGGCCCAAGAGATTAAGATTGCTCCAAGTTCGCCCAAGAATCTTCCAAGACGGCCCAAGACTGCCCCAGAGGCCCCCGAAAGGCTTCAAAGGCGGCCCAAGAGGCTTCCAAGAGGTACTCCACGAAGGCCCGAAGAGGTCCAAAATTATTGCTTTCTGTGGTTTTTGGCGGATTTTGGCAGAAGCTTCTGTTCGGCCTTCCGACGGCCCAAGACGGTCCAAGAGGTCCCCAAGATCGCCCCAAGGTGGCCACAAAGGTCTCCAAGATGGCCCCCGGACGGCCCAGAAGCCTTTGAGAAGGCCCCCGGCCCCCCGAGGGCCCCAAGACTGCCCATGAGGCATCCAAGACGCCTGAGATGTCCTCCAAGACGGCCCTGAAGCGCCCCAAGAGGGCAACATGTCGTGAGAGGCATCCAAGACGGTTTCCGACGGCGTCAGACGGCCCGAAGACGGCCAAAGCGGCCCCAAACAAGACCCCAGAGGCACCCACGAGGCCCACGGAGGCCCCCAAGAGGTCTCCAAGAGGGCCCCGGGAAGCTCCCAGCAGACCCCAAGAGTGCCCCCAGAGGCTTCCGAGAGGTGTCCTCCTCCTTCTCCTCCTCCTCCTCCTCCTCCTACTTAATGTTCCTTCTTCTCCTCATTCTCCTCTTCCTCACGTGTTCCCCTAAAGATTTCAATGCAGCTGGGGGAACACATGGTCCGATAGCTCCAGACCAACTTTCGGACACATAGGCGCATCGAAAAAGAAAGGGGGCGACGGTGATTCTCAGTAGGCGTCTTCGATAAAGGACAAAACGAAATGGCATAGACATAAACGTTTGGAAGTCCGTGCGGTTTTCATGGAACGGCGCTGGGCCGGCGAAGCGCGCCAGAGTCGGCGCCAGAGGCTCCGCCAGGGGGTTCCAGCGCAAATCCAACAAATGGGCGCAAACCTCCGAAAGTCAATGTTTATGAAATTGGTGTTCTTCGAGTCCCCACCTTTTGCTGCGGAACCAGTACTGCACAGACTGCATCACGACGCGGGTCGCGACCAGGCACGCCTGCTGGGTCTGGCAAGGAAGGCGCACACACGCAGGAGGGGCGTGTCTGTCTCGGAGATGGGGGCGTGCGGACAAGTCGAATCCAAGAGATGGGCAGGTCCGATGCCGCGGAAGACTGGGCGCGGGAGAAGCAAGGCACCACATACCGACGCGACAAATCGAAGATCACGCCAGGATAAGGTCGGGCATGTCCCCCTACAGGCGTATTTGGGACGACAAATGAAAATAGCCAACAAGTATTCAAACATCATCACAACTAGTCGAAACATCGTCTCCAGATTATTTCTTTATTGTCTTTAACTATTCCTCCTGTGGAGGGACAGGCCCGGCTTAACGCCAAGAGCTCCCGGCTCGAGACGGCCTGCCACCGCGGACGACGGTCGAGCACCTCCTCCAACCCGAGCTGATCCGACAAATCGTACAGCTTATCGAGCAGACGGTGGTGAAGAGTATCGTCGGCGGTGCCTGACACAGCAGGGGCCCGTCCACAAGAGACCCTCCACAAGAAACCCAACCCTGGGACCCCAGGGCGTCTCTTGACATTTGGCGTGGGAACGTCGTGCTGTCCATCGCAAAACCATCGAAACCCAAGAAACCCAGGGCACCCTGGAGGCAAGCATCGTGTTTCTTGGCATGGGTCTCCATTGTGTGGACCTGAGGGATGGTGCCCAGGGACGGAGACCTTAAACACTGAACGCTCGACTATGCGCTTCATATCCTTAGCCAGGTAGACGTAAGACTCGAGCTCAAACTTGTCTGAAGGGGCCGCCAGACAAATTACGAAATCTCGCCTGAAACGTGGCGCGAACTCCTTGTGCAAACATCGCAAAAGAACTGAACCATTAAATCCACACCCAGACCGTCACAAAGTGGCGGCAAACGGAAAACTCGAGTCCCTGCAAACTCGAGTCTTACATGTAGAGGAACAAAAACAACATAACCATACAACTTTTGGAGGTCTACGCGGATTTCTTGGATCCGCCCTGGACCCCCCTCCCTGGCGTGCGGAGCGAGCCAGGTGCGGCGCTGTAGGCGCTGCCAGGAGGCCCAGCGCGGATCCAAGAAATCCAAGCGGACCGTCGAGAGCTTATGATCATGATGATTTTGTGCCTCGACGCATGCCCCTGCCTTAGGGAAGGGAAGGCCACACGAACATAGATTGGGGTACGGATATATCGAGAATCTCTGGGATCAGGCGGCTCTGGAAAATGTCTCGGGCGCCGCGGCCTTCTCAAATCGTTCCGGAACGCTCTGAGAGCGTTCCGGAACGCTCTGGAAAGATTTATCCTCGTCTTAGCCCCGTCCGATCAGGGCCTCATCCCTCAGGATTCCATCTTTGGAGCCACCAATCTGGAGTCGATCGAGCGGGCCAGCAACCCGGGGCGACGCAAGCCCGCGGGAGCAAGAGGGCGAGAGGCACAACGGGGAAGGGGTGGGCGCGGGCCGGGAATGCGCAGGGACGAAGGAGGGGATGCACTGGCGACTCCTCATGGGTTCCGAGACCACCTCGCGTTGCGTACGAATGGTTCGCGCGGCGCCGGCACGCGCGAAGGTGTTTGACACCGCGTCGATCGTTCAACGTTGAATCGATCGCGGCCCCGATCGTTCAAAATTCAATTCCGTCGGGTCCAGTGGCGTCATCGTGTCCATCGATGCTTCAACGTCGCAGAACTCAACTTTGAAAGTCTTCGCCAGCGCCGCCAGCGCGCCATCGCCGCATGAACCTACCGAAACAAATCACGACAATCAATGTTCTCCTATTTTCGACCTCTGGGGGCCCTTGCCTGGCCTCGGGACCGTCAAACAACGACTCAGGATGAGAAACCGGTCCTGGGGAAGGAGTCCAGACCTCTGGGGGTCGACGTTGTGACAAAATCGCGACGTCAAGGGTCTGTGTACGGGCAAGTTCGTGCCGTGACGACTCCTCTGGGCTTGCTTTTGAGACCGCGTGGATCGTTCAACTCTGGTCGATCACGGCTCTTCGATTGCACAAGTCGTTGCATACCGACCAATTCTTGGCTGGTGGCATTCAACCTCGAACGCCCGCGCTGGGGTCGCCGCCGCGTCGACACGGTACTCATCCGCAGTATCTGGAGCAACGGTAGTATTAATCGCGCGTGAGAGTGAGGTCGACCATGGATGAGAAAAAGTGGCCCTCTCTCTCCTCTCGACCACAGGGGTGGGCATGCAGCCAGGGATCGGGTTGGGCGTGGCTGGGCTGTGGCGATGAGGAGTCAAGGAGGACGGAGGCGAGGACGGATCAGGATCAGCGGGCTGTTGGAGCGCTTCGAAGCAGGAGGCCCCGTATGGGCAGAACCAGGTCTGCGGCGTAGTGCACATGTCCACTGCGTGAAGGGGATGGCGCAAGTCCTGCCGATGTCTCTCAGGGAGGCCCAAGTGCTGTCCCTCAGGGAACCACAGTCAAGGAAGTATTGCCGAAGGAGCTCAACCATCCGCCTGGCAGAATCTGACCATCGCGCGGCGGTGAGCTGTAGCGTAGCGGAGCCGTCAGAGCTCCCGCGGGACGGTGCGCCACAGGGAGGGGCGCCCGTGCTAATGCCATATGCTTCAGCGTCTTGAGGCCGAGTTGGGACGCGTTGCGACGGAGGAGGGAGAGAGGGAGCGGGTGGGGGAGTGTAGCGGTCGGAAGCTGGACGGGATCCGAGCCGATCGGCGATCGTGAGCGGGCCCTCCCCAAACATGCGAAGTCCTGATATTTTCAGGACGGCGTCCCTGAAGTCCCGACCCTTTCCCCGGGACCAATTTTTCATCCTCAGTCGTTTTTTGACGGTCCCGAGGGCCGGTAAGGGCCCCCAGAGGCCTAAAATAGCCACAACCTTCGCGTCCTGATTTTTCCACGACGCGATCATGTACGGGCCGGTGTCCATGTACGAAGAGGGCCTGATCCCCGCGTGGCCCGCTGGTCGAGGACCGCCCTCCAGCTCGGCGGGGCCCGGCGTGCCGAGCTCGGCGCGGCCGCCGGCGTGCTCGCCCCCATGGGGCTGCCGTCGAACCCCTCCCAGGGCTGCCTGCCCTCGGCAGGGCTCTGGGGGCGGCTGGAGGGCCGTGGGCGAGGGGAGACGGGCGCGTTCCACTACTCGCAAAGTAACTACTCGCAAATGGCCTGGGTCCCCCTGGGGGATCTCCGACACATTACAGCAGAACAGACATGTGACTTTCGGACGTTTGCGAGTGGGCACTTTGCGAGTAGTGGGACGCGCTCGGTGAGAGGGGTCGCGACCATCACTCGAGGGGCGTGAAGCCTCGGCGGGGATGGCGGGGCGGGAACCAGCCTGCGGGAAGTAGAGTTGAGCAAGGACCAGCCGTCTCGGCACTCCTGTAGGCATACCAGGGATGCTTCGTAGAACACCAAAACGTTCTAAGAACAAAAACTATGTTCTGATAACATAAACCCGATGCGTTTAAACACGACAGTCTCAACAAGACATGTTATTCAAACAGCTCGTGAGAGCCACAAAAAGGTTCTTCTTCCATAGGCAAGCCAGAACGCTTCGCCACTGCTCGATCGGAGGGGAACTGGCCGAGAAAAATCCCGTTCAGGAAGTCCATCTGGGCCACCGCGGGCGGGCCGACCGCCCGCGTCGAGCACAGGCGTCCCAGGCCCCCAGGCCCTGCCGAGCGACGACTGCTCTCGGCTTGGACAAGAGACTCGCCATCGCTCGAACGTCAATTCCCTGTGCATGTTCTGGTTTCGTGCGCGGTCTCTTGTTGCTCGATTCTCCAGGATGCTCCTCCATCGACCCCGCCGAGGAACAGTGCACACGCCCTAGCGATGCCAGGAGAGAGTGGGGATGCGGGCCCCCGGCAAGGCCCTCCTGGAGGAGGATCCTGGATGGAGGTCCGGCGCCCATGGGGACCAGGACCGCCTCCCCGTCCGCCGCGCCGGGTCCACCCGCAGCGCGGTCGGGCTGACGGGGGGCCTGGACACCCGAGGGGCACGGGCCGCGGCAGTGCCCTCGGGAGCCGACACGCCGCGCGCCTCCCCGCGCTCTCTCTCCGCCCGGGGGCTGCCCGCAACGGGCACGGGCGAGGGCACGGCCTCCGTCTCCCGAGGAGCGGCCGGGGGGCCTGCATGCCACCCCGAGGGGCCGAGAGGAGCCGTGCCCGTGAACCTCGGCAGTGGACCGTAGTCGTCCTGAGGCGCGGGTGCACGGTTTCTTCCGGGGCCGTAGGCGATCCGAGGAGGAGGAGGAGGAGGAGGAGGAGGAGGAGGAGGAGGTGCAGGACGGGGAGGGGAGGTGCAGGAGGGGGAGGGGGAGGAGGAGAAGGAGGAGGAAGAGGAGGAGGAGGAGGAGATGGAAGAGGAGATGGAAGAGGAGGAGGAGGAGGAGGAGGAGGAGGACCAGTGTAAAACCAAGAGTAATCCATGATGTTGGAAGTAATCCTCCCTCCAAACTCCCTCTTCATAGGCCCCCTACAACGGTTCATTTCCATCGAGAGAACTGCCTCGTTGGAAGACAACCCTTTGAAGATCCTGAAGCATGCAAACACTATTCTCGGGATTTTAACGCCCCGTATCAACCTGACTGCTCTGTCTTGACGATCTGGAATCGTGCCAGAGCGCCATTTTTGGGACTTCAACAGTGCGAACCAACATAATTGTTGCACCCGCATAATCCTGCATCCTTCCAAAACAATCTTTCTGGTACGTTGGTGAGCATTTTTTTATTCTGGGTTCCGGCTTTAGGCGCATGGGGGGGAGGGGGGGGGGGTCCGGCTCTCGGCCCGTAGTCAATGCCTCCGATTGAATCATGTGGGGAATCCTGTGGGAGATGCCGATGAGGGAATCCTAGGGGGGACCCCCCATGGAGGAATCGCGCAGCGGCTGCGCGGGGCTGCGCCAAGGCTATGCGTGATTTGGCAAGCCTGTGCCAGAATTGCTAGGGATCACCTATTCATGATTCCACGAGGCCGTCGCTGGCATAACAGGGGAGGGCCCAGCCGGAGGCATGCTTTCTGGCGATCGGGTCCGGCGCCCC